ACAAGGAATGAATGTGTCTGGTTAAAGGCCAGTGCCTGAACTTGGAAGTGGATCCTCCCCGGGTTGAGGCTTCATTCAGCAGCTCTGGCTGACAGCTGAACTGTGTCTCATGAGAGCCTCTGAGCCAGAGACACCCAGCCCAGCTTCCTGGCCAATTGAAACTCGGAGATAACAAATGCTTACTGTTTTCAGCTGACAAATTGGGGTGGGAGGGTTACTTGTTATACAGCAATAGATAACTAATACACCCAATGTAGGCCAGGGAAGCTAATGCTGGTGTGTGTATATAGTGTTAGTAAGAATGTGAATTGGAATTTCTAAAGAGCAATTTTGGCAATATTCCTAAAGATATTCAGAATTTTTTTGTCCTAAAGAAATAAATACACAAAAATTGATGCATATTCATTGAACTATTAAATATAATAACTATAATAGTGAATAACTGGTAATAACTTACATGCCCAACACTAGTTGGAGAATTGTGATGTGATATAATAAGAAACACATATTTTGTCTTTATCCCTGGTTCCTGGCCAGAGCTCCCACAGCCTTTGTAATTTCCTAAGTGATAAAAGTGCTAGGAGCATCTTTTGTTCTAATATGTTTTGTTTGACCCCAGTTCCTGACCCAGAGCCCCTGATGAACCTAATCTTTGGAATATCCTAAGTGATACGAATGTCTTCTGTTCTAATGAGGTAACTCTTGCTGGGCTCCTAGATGGGGGCTGGTCTCCGGAAAGACCAAGCCATGATTAGAAGCTTGGGCTGCTCAGCCCTGCCCCACCCCATCTTCGGTGGAGCAGGGGCTGGAGATTGAGTTAATAATCCATTATGCCCATATGATGAAGCCTCCATAAAAATCCCTAAAGCACAGGGTTTGGAGAGCTTGTGGGTTGATGAACACATGGAGGTGCTGAGAGGGTGGCATATCCAGAGGGGCATGGAAGCTCCGAATCCCTCCCCCATACATTATCTTCTGCATTTCTTCCATCTGCCTATTCCTGAGTTGTAGCCTTTTATAATAAAGTAGTAATCTAGTAAGTAACCTGTTTTCCTGATGTCTGTTAGCCATTCTACCAAATTCTTGAACCTGAGGAGGGGTCATGGGAACCTCCTATTCATGACCAGTTTGTCCGAAGCACAGGTGACAACCTGGACTTTGCACTTGGTGTCTGGAGTGGGGAAAGGCATTCTTGTGAGACTAAGCCTGTAATTTGAGAGCTCTGATGCTATCTCCAGGTAGCAGAATTGATTTAAATCATAGGACACCCAGTTGGTGACACCCACAGAGAATTGGAGAATTGGTTGGTGTGGAAAAAACCCACACCCACTTGGTGACAAGAAGTGAAATATTGGATTGTAGAGTGTTGAGAGTAAAGTAGAAAAAAGTAGGTTTTTTTATGGTCATTTGATAAAATCTTGAGCAGACTTTAAAATTCATGTGAAAATTCTAGTTAATGGCTTGTTGAAATGTTCACAATATAATAGTAACTATGTTCACAAATAAAAGTAATTGGGGCTGACCCTAATTTTTGTTTTATTCATTTGTTTACTTTTTAAAGGACTTGATAGAAATATACTAACATGGGGACTTCCCTGGTGCGGCAGTGGTTAAGAATCCTCCTGCCAATGCTGGGGACACGGGTTCGAGCCCTGGTCCGGGAAGAGCCCACATGCTGCAGAGCGACTGAGCCCGTGCGCCACAACTACTGAGCCTGCGTGCCACAACTACTGAAGCCCACGTGCCTAGAGCCCATGCTCCACAACAAGAGAAGCCACCGCAATGAGAAGCCTATGCACCGCAACAAAGAGTAGCCCCCGCTCACCGCAACGAGAGAAAGCCCGCGCACAGCAACGAAGACCCAACGCAGCCAAAAATAAATAAATTTATTTATTTATTTATTTATTTATTTAAAAAAGGAAAGAAATATACCAATATGATAATGGTGATGGTCACCAAGTGATGGAATTATTAGGTGATGTATATTTTCTTTGTCGTACTTTCCTGTAGGTTCTAATTTTTCCACAGTGAATATGTATTATTTTTAATCTGAACTATTCTTAAGTACAAAATAATTAAATGTGGACCTAGTATGATTCTCAAAACACATTTACCTTACCTATTTTTTCTGGGTCATATTTTTCAAATTCTTCTCTCAAGTTTCTGAATCCTTCCAGCCACTTCTCAGCATCAAGTAAATCTTCTTGTTCTTCCTCTATTCTTGATATTTTCCAACACAGTCTCTAGATATGACTGAAAAGGAAAAACACCAAAGTAAATCTTGATTTTAAATTATATAAAATCTAGGGGTGCCCCGGTGGTCCAGTGGTTAGGACTCTGCACTTCCACTGTAGTGAGCGTGGGTTCAATCCCTGGCTGGGGAACTAAGATTCCACATGCCACGTGGCCAAAAATAAATAAATTAATTAAATTAAATAATATAAAATCTCAGAAAGGTAATTGGATTTGACCCTTTGCATAAAGTATGATTTTACTTCAGGAAATAAAGATTTAAATAAGTTTACATAAAAATCCAAAATGTATTTATATAAGTCTGGGTTTCTTAACCCAGGCTCCATGAACATCTGGGGGTTCACAAGTGGGTTTCAGGTAGTTCATGAAACTTTACACAAAATATCAAGTGTATTTGCCTCTTCCTTGGAAGAGAGTTCATAGTTTAAGTAGGTTCTCAGTCGGGGCTGTAATCAGAGTGACAGCTGTCCTGGTTCGACCAGCACTGTTGCTTTTAGCACAGAAAGTCCTGAGTTTAGGAACCTCTCAGTCCTAGGTAAACCAGGATGGTGGTTACTCTATCTGAAATCCAAGAAAAACCGATGAAAAATAACACAAAGATTTAATTAAACTCAATTGAATGTACAAGTAAAAATTAGAAGACTACTTCTTAAATCAGAATACTGCCATTTCTTCTTATTTAACCTATGTCCTGAGAATTATTTTGTATATAAACCAAAGCTCCTGGTATCTTTCCTACTTAGTTTCTAGACTAACTGCAACTTGCAAATGACCCCCGCCTTGCTACTGTGAACTTTTACCTTTTGTCCTGTGTATTTGGCGGCTCCTGCATTACTAGGTTAAGGTAGGACTGCCCTGGCATGATCACCCCCAGAGTCAGTCCCGAAGGGAAATGCATGTCATCACATAAGAATCCAGATCTGTGGCATGATGGGGAACTCAGGTGATCTCCATTGGGTTAGGTGTCGGGGCACTCCCAAATGGTGTATATTAAGCTAATTTCTGCCCTCGTTGGGGGTAGGCTAGAAATCAGTAGAAAGGACCCAGGAGAGGCCTTTCCATTTCTGCAGAATTCCATGTAAGGAAGGATGGGGTCCATGACCTCCAGAGATAAGCTCTCTCTGATTAGGAGTACTCAAATTATGGTATATCTTTTTATTTCTCTTTTGTAATCCATCGACCTTTGGTAAAGTATTTTTGAACCATCAGCTTTGTGTCAGCTGTGCCTCAGAGATAGGGGGACTTTAGGCCACAGCTGGGGAGAGCAGTTCTTATGGAGGGCACAGTGGCAGCAGCAGGAATTAATGAGACTTCGATGCAAAAGTGCATCTCAGGAACAGAGTCTCTGACTCAATCAAGGAGATTCTCTTTCCACTCTTCACCTTGGAAGTTCTCGTTTTGTTCTACTAAGAAAAGTGACTTTTGGACTTCCCTGGTGGCACAGTGGTTAAGAATCCACTTGCCAATGCAGGGAACACAGGTTTGAGCCCTGGTTCAGGAAGATCCCACATGCTGCGGAGCAACTAAGCCCGTGCGCCACAACTACTGAGCCTGCTCTCTAGAGCCCACGAGCCACAACTACTGAGCCCACGTACCGCAACTACTGAAGCCCGTGCACCTAGAGCCCGTGCTGAAGAGAAGCCACCGCCATGAGAAGCCTGCGCACCACAATGAAGAGTAGCCACCGCTCACCGCAACTAGAGAAAGCCCACGCACAGCAACGAAAACCCAACGCAGCCAAAAATAAATAAATTAAATAAATTAAAAAAAAAAAGAAAGGTGACTTTTATTATATAATTTACAGTGTCAAAAAATCAACATAGGTAGTTTTCTTCCTCTGCTTAGTTTTTATACCTGAAACACTGGTGTTTTTGGATGATGCATTGTGACCTTCAATCCCCAATTTTTTTTGAGTTCCATCTCTTTTTTATTTTTTTTGCGGTACGCGGGCCTCTCACTGTTGTGGCCTCTCCCGTTGCGGAGCACAGGTTCCGGACGCGCAGGCTCAGCGGCCATGGCTCACGGGCCCAGCTGCTCCACGGCATGTGGGATCTTCCCGGACCGGGGCACGAACCCGTGTCCCCTGCATCGGCAGGTGGGCTCTCAACCACTGTGCCACCAGGGAAGCCCCAAGTTCCATCTCTTTTGAGAACACCTATTCTGTTCTCATCATACCTGCCTTAGTAGAAATGATACATGTGATGTAACATATAAGCTTTATAAAACTGACAAGTACATGATCTTGAGATGGCAAATGTGAGCCATGTGGGCCACAGATTTCGCCTCCTGGGCCCAAACCAGCAACTCTATTAATCACAGCATTATTTCTGTTAAGCCCAGACTCAACCTCAGAAATCTTCACAAGTCCTACCAGACATTTATTTCTGTGTTCATGAAATATATTTATTTACATGTATATGTATATACATATATGCATACACACATATACATATACATAATGGATTCATCTATTCTTTCCATGTAAAAAATGAATAATTCTTTAAAAATTCTTTGGCAGGGATTTCCCTGGTAGCGCAGTGGTTAAGACTCCATGCTCCCAATTCAGGGGGCCCGGGTTTGATCCCTGGTCGGGAACTAGATCCCACATGTATGCCACAAGTAAGAGTTCACATGCCCGGGAGATTTTTCAGCAGAGGACTGAAGCTTCGGCCCTAGAGTTCTCACCTGCCCTTCCTGCCAGCCTGCACTACAGATTTCAGACTCTGTGAGAGCTCCTACATTCCTAGAAAGAGTCTACATTCAGGAGGAAGTAATCCCAGAAAAGGAAGAACAGGCAGATCAAGATGTGTAGCTCTGTGGCCGCCAAGTTGTGGTTTTTGACAGATCGTCGAATCAGGGAAGACTATCCTCAAAAAGAGATCTTACAAGCGTTCAAGGCCAAATGTTGTGAGGAGGAACTGGACTTTAGGGCTGTGGTGATGGATGACGTGGTGCTGACAGCTGAGCAAGGAAACCTGGGTCTTCGTATCAAAGGAGAACTAATGGCTGCTTACCCTCAGGTGGTGGTAGTGAGAGTACCAACCCCTTGGGTGCAAAGTGATGGTGACATCACTGTTTTGCGCCATCTAGAGAAGATGGCATGCAGGTGGATGAACCGACCTCAAGCCATCCTGAACTGTGGTAATAAGTTCTGGACGTTTCAAGAGTTGGCAGGTCACGGTGTTCCTCTGCCAGATACCTTCTCTTATGGTGGTCATGAAAATTTTGCTAAAATGATTGATGAAGCAGAAGTACTGGAGTTCCCAATGGTGGTGAAGAAAACACGGGGCCATAGAGGCAAAGCAGTTTTCTTGGCTTGCGATAAGCACCATTTGGCTGATCTAAGCCATCTTATTCGCCGTGAAGCTCCATACCTGTTTCAGAAGTGTGTTAAAGAGTCTCATGGAAGGGATGTACGTGCCATTGTTGTGGGAGGCCGTGCGGTTGGCACCATGTTACGCTGTTCAACAGATGGGAGGATGCAAAGCAACTGCTCACTGGGTGGTGTACGGATGATGTGCTCATTGAGTGAACACGGGAAACAGCTAGCTATCCAGGTGTCTAATATCCTGGGAATGAATGTGTGTGGCATTGACCTGTTGATGAAAGACAACGGCTTCTTCTGTGTCTGCGAGGCCAGTGCAAATGTAGGTTTGATAAGGCTTGTGATCTGGATGTAGCTGGTATCACAGCAGACTATGCCGCCTCCCTTCTGCCCTCTGGCCGGCTCACCTGGCGTATGTCCCTGCTCTCCGCGGTGTCCATGGCCAGTGAGACTAGTGAGCCGGAGCTGGGCCCCCCAGCCAACACTGCTGTCGACAACCTGAGCACAAGTTCCAGCTCTGTTGACAGCGACCCCGAAACCGCAGAGCGAGAGCTGCTCACCAAGCTCGCAGGGGGCCTATTCAACGGAAACCAACTGCTAGCCAATGAAATCAAACTCCTGGCGGAGTGAGTCCACCAGTAAATAATTAACCAACAAAACCCTTGTAAAACTTCCTTTTTCCCTTTTTTTTTTTTTTAAACAAACTTGCAAAGCTGTTCATGGAAAATGCTCAGGAAGATGAGAGGAAATTTGAGTAGGATTAGTTACGAGGGAAAGGAGGGGGAGATAGACGAGACCTTTGCTACTAAGATGTTACTGACTTTGATTTACAAATCCTACAGACAGAGAGGCAGAAGAGGTGAGATACAGAAAAATGTCAGGCTCTCGTAGTTTTACATTACTCGGAGAAATGTGCAGGCTCTCAGGCCACGAAGAACATAATTTTTTCATGGTCTCTTGCTTTTGTTTTTGTACAGTTGGTACAAATTTCAGAGTCGTGTAACTTCACATTGTGTTGTAATCCGTGAGGAAGACATCTACCTAAATTATAATTTTTTAATACAAATCTGAAAATTCAGCCTATACACTATTATCTAGGAGCTTTATGTTCATAGTTATGAAATCTTGAGGGGCTCTTTTATTGACTTTTTCCCCCTTAATTTGGGTAGGAGGGCAAGATGGATGTGACCCAATAAAGGTTTTTTTAATGATGAAGTCGGCATGTTTGCACGATAAAAGGGAAATGAACAGTATTGCAATGTCTGGCACACAAAATAACATTTACTCCATTGTACATACAATTGCACTAGTTAAAAATATGTGCATTGACTTGTATTTGTTAGTGTTTTAGCCTTTTTTGAAAGATATATGCTATGTTTATGTTGCTTTTTTTTTTTTAATACATGCTAGTCTTAACATTCCCTGATCTATGCCTGCATCTTTAACAATGCAAAGTGAAGAAAATGCTACCATTTTTGTTAACAAGGCACTGACTTGAAACATGTGCATTTAAAGCCTTTTATTTTTTTCCTTTTTTCTTTTGGTGGTTGGGCATTTAAAGAATAAGGACAAGGAAAAATATTTTGGGGGGCGAATCAAGGGTCTATAAGTTCCTAAGTATAAAGTTGAAGTGATTTCTAATACCAGAGTTATATATCTGCATTTTTCACATTTTAGGAGGGTGTGTGTGTGCGCGTGCGTGTGTGCGTGCACATGCACGCTTGCATGTTTATGTGCTTTGCTTTTTGTTTACACCAACCAACCAAAAAGATTCTAGAAAATGGAGCAGGATGGGAAAGTTTTTTACTTTAAAAAGAAAAAACAACCGAGTTGTTTTCATAACTATAATCTACTGGGTAGAGGTACTCACCTAAAGACATGAGGAGAATAGCTGCTTCTTAGGCTTTTGTGTATATGTATGTTGTTTGCTTCTTTTCCTTTGGTTCTAGACTGTTCAGTGTGTGATTTATTCCACGCTATATGCTTTTCCTCTGCTTCTTGCTGTGCATTTTCTCCTATTACACATAGGTTTTGGGGTGGGGTGGACTGAACATTTTTGTTTGGGGACTTATTTAGCAGTATTGAGTCTTTTATAGCCCTACTCTGAATCCTTCAATATTCTACTCTTTATATTACTTTACTTCTGAATTTATAAAAGCCCCCAAACTGCATATAATATGAGCCTTTAAACATGGGTAAAACTATCCCAGTGAATGGTTTGGAAGGTGTGTTAAGAAATGGAGATGCTCCAGAGCTCAACGTAAGCAGCAAGTTCCATCTCCCTACAATCCTCTGAAGCTTTTTACCCAAGTCCTTTCTTGTCTCTCCAGTGCTTTTTTCCTTCAGATGGACCTTAAATATAATTTCTTGGACACTACTAGAGAGACTTCGAGGCAATAAGATCAGTATTAACCAGCTCTAACAGACGTTTGATCATGCTTACTTGCACAGTTTTCCCCCCATTTTAAAAAAGGAATGCAATAAAACTTGTTTTTTCCATAGAATTAAATAATATTAAAATGGAGTGAAAGGTTGATTGTTGACAAACAGAATAGTACCTCTGATCTGTGCAGTGTCTCATTTCACCTTAGAAAAAGTTACATAAGAGGAGTTTCTAATTTATTTTAGGATATTCTCATCTCATCTAAAGAATTTGAGTTGTACAGGGTTATTGTGTGACATATTGTGGAATATATAAGTACCTCTGGCTCACTTGGTACTTCTTTTACTAAATGACCATACTTTGGAAGATGCACACTATTTGGGATAGAGAAATAAACAAGGGAGAAGGAATCGCTTAATTAAATCATCATTCATATGTGTGTAGAGACCATCTGGTTGCCACATAGATGATGATACATATACTTTGAATAGTTACATATCACATGTATATAGATTAGTGAATTTTAAAACACAAATAGAACACCCTCTCTATTTGATGAAAAACTCAAGGTTTCTGTTGGGTGGGATAAGGCACCAGGAAAAATGTAGGTAGCCTTTTAAAAATATTATCAAATTAATCAAGTACATTAGAAGAAATATCTGAGATTATTTCACTGTTAGTTTTACTCACTATCCATCTTTTGTGCATACACACTATGTTAAAACAGCCTTACCAACTATTTCTGGATCGTACACTGAATGGACAAGAATGGACATCTTAGAGTTTAAAAACATGAATATCCTCTTGAATTCCCTCAAAAAGTAAGGCAAAGAATATGAGCAAACCATACTGGAAGAACCCAAACAGCCCAGATATTAAGTGAAAGTTAAATATATTTTCATATCGTTTAGTAACTTTCTTAAAACCTTTGCTATTATGAGAGGTAAAAATGTATATTTATCAAATATGCATAGTTATTTTATCAAGCAAAAATCTGAATTATTGTAAAACTATTGTACATTGTTAAAATTGTAATTCTGAATTGTATTTAAAAGTAATTCTTCCTGATACTGTTTTTATGTCACCCACGATGAAAAGCGGACTATGTATATACACAAACACACTAATACGAACTATTCCATTTAAAATTTTTAATAGTTATTTTCTTTTGATTGGCCATTTCTGCTGGCTTTAACTCCACTGAACTTTGAAGTATTTCTGTATATGCTATCAAATAAGAAAATACCCTGGAACATTAGAAAAATCCATCAAGAGACTTGCTTTCGTCAAGCACTTTATCAGACTTTTGAAAAGGCATCGAACGCGTTGAAAGAAGTAATTGACTTTCAAGATCATCTCTTCTTTTTGTCAAGAAGAAAACAAAGGAAAAAGAAATTCTCTTCATTCAGTGAGTCCCCAGTTTGGGGTCTGGGGCGCTTAGAGACACTGTGAAATCAAATCTTGTGTTACATTTTTCTCCTGGCTCACTCTTTTTTGAGAAGGTTTATGGGTTATATGGCTGGTGAGACACCATTCCCTCCTAAGAAAATGTAGGTGCTCAGACAGGTAACCTCTGTAGCTACTGTTTTTATTTGTTTGTTTGTTTCATTTCTTTTATAATTTGTTTTTGTTGTACTAGGATATTTTTAAATGTAATATATTGCAGGATTTATAACCAGGTTCACTGCTTTCTTTCCTTTTTTTCTTAACAAAAAAAATTTTATTTAAGATACATTTAGGTGCCTTTGAAGCTTGGATTTTGGAATGTTTCAGTAGTGGACAGAAATCTGCTGTTGGAATCTTCTAGTCTTCCAGGTTTAATTTGAAATGTTTTTAGTTTTGTTTTGGATTTTTGTGTAGTATTTTATTTCCTTTATACCAATGCCCTTTTGCCATGCTGTTTTGGGGTGGCTGCCTAACTCTAGTGAAAATTCTTTCTATATTAACGAAAATGTGGTGTTTTAAATTCCTTAATGTTTTGCATTTTTAAAATTGTTTTTAAAGAAATATTCTAACTTATTAAAAAAATAAAGGAGTTCGCATGCCACAACTAAGGACACTGACTGCTGCAACTAAAGAGTCCGCCTGCTGCAATTAAGGCCTGGTGCAACCAAATGAATAAATAAATAAATATTAAAAAAAAATTCTTTGGCAGATCATGTGTCCTGATTTGGGGCTTGAAAAAAACATATTATCATTGTATGCGGGACCACATATACTTTTACATACATAATTATGGAGAAGTACAACTAACTGTTCCTGCCTTGCCCTTACAGGGTGACTAATAAACCTTTGGCTTGTTAGTGGGTTCATTCTGCCCTTCCTGATATCCAAAGTATATATATATATGTGAATCATTTTTGGCTTGAAGTCATGATCAGAAATGCAACATATGAAGAATCAGTACCAACACAGTGGTTGAATAGCACAAGCCCTGGAGTTTGACAATGACTAGGTTCTGAATCTCTGTCCTGACTCTGCAGTTTGTAACTTCTAATTCTCTCTCTCTAAGTCTCAGTCTCTTCACTTATGAAACGGAAGAAATAACACTCACCTCACAGGGTTGTTAAGAAGTAAACGGTATATTGTATAAAGAGCCTAGGACAGAGTGTGGCAATTAATAGGCCCTCAGCGAATGGCCTTCATGAACACTATGTTGGAACTAGACTAGAGCTGACCAGATCTCGAAGCCGAATGTAACACAGGGGCAAAAGCTGAGAGAAAATTACAAAGTAAGGCTAGGATTCATCCGTTCAACCAGCATTCACTGAGGGTCCACCATATGCCAGGTACCACGCTGGGCACTGGGGTCAGAAAAGAGAAGGGAGGAGTAAGAGCAGAGGGCAGAAGGCTCCCTACCCCTGACCCTCCCTGTTATTACCTATCTGGATGGGTATGTTCACACTCAAGTCACCTGCTCGGATTCCTTGTGACAATGACAGGGACCTGGACAGCCAAGGAACTGACAAGGAAGATAAAATTAGGAGCCAAGACCTCACTAGTGAATGCAGCGTGGATGAGAAAACACGGACTTTAAAATCAGACAGACACAATTGTTTGCTTTTTAATAGTTTATCTGCTTACAGAAAAAATGTTAAATTTTTGGTAAAAATTCATTTTAATAAAACTAATTTTAATAAAAGATTAAAATAAGAAAAGTAATAAATGTAATTTCATCGCCCAGAGATAATTGATGGTAACATTTTGGCGTTTAGCATTCCTGTTCTTTTTCTGTGCATATGTTTTA